GTGCTCCAGGCCCCTCGGGCTCGGCTGGAAGGGCTGGTTGATTACAGAACCACTGGGATTTGTAGAGAAGTTTCCCTCTGAGGTTACACTCCCAAGCCTGGAAATACGGGATGCTATAGAGAAGTACGATGAGGAAAGGGGGGAAAAGGAGGAAAGCGCCTTCATCGGACAACACACGGACGCAGCCATGTGCCCAGCACGTTCTGCGTTCACAGGAAGGCTGCACCCTCCCCAGTCACTCAGGTTTCCCACCCTCAGGGATGGCAGAAGGTGCTTGCAGCCCCTAAATCAGCTCCCATCTACAAGCTGAGAGAGCGATTTCCGCCCAATCTCCAGCGAAAAGGTGTGGATCACGTCCCGTCACTTGTCTGCCCGAGTCCGAGCGGTCGCGTCTCAACACAATTCGCTTTCTGTTGCAAGCTGAGAGAGCGATTTCCGCCCAATCTCCAGTGAAAAGGTGTGGATCGCGTCCCATCACTCGTCCGCCCGAGTCCGAGCGGTCGTGTCTCAACACAATCCGCTTTCTGTTGCGGTCTCAAAACTCAGAGAATCCTGGAACGGTTTGGGTTGGAAGGGACCTCAAAGACAATCCAGTTGCATTCCCCGTGCCGGGGGCAGGGCCCCCCTCCACTACACCAGGTTGCCCAAAGCCCCATCCAACCTGGCCTGGAACACTTCCTGGAACCCGGCTGTTCACATCCTTTTGGCTGAGAGACAAGGCTGTGGAGAAGGGAGGGAGGCGCCAACTCCCTTTTCTGACATCCAGCTTCTCTCTTCCTTCAGCTGGAGGGTGGAACCAAACCCTTCTCACGCTCCCCCAAATCAATTATTTGCACGTTCTTTGCAGCAGGATTCTCAGGGGCAGGTTCCTGTACCTTTTTCCAGAAATATTTAAACCTAAGTGAAACACAGCTCAGGAAAACGTAAGCGGGAAGTGAAAAAGAGAAGACAAAGGTCAGAAGACCATTTGTTTCGGGTCAGCTCCGACCAACGCCAGGTCAGGGATGCCTCCACTACACCAGGTTGCCCAAAGCCCCATCCAGCCTGGCCTGGAACACTTCCTGGAACTTGGCTGTTCACATCCTTTTGGCTGAGAGACAAGGCTGTGGAGAAGGGAGGGAGGCGCCAACTCCCTTTTCTGACATCCAGCTTCTCTCTTCCTTCAGCTGGAGGGTGGAACCAAACCCTTCTCACGCTCCCCCAAATCAATTATTTGCACGTTCTTTGCAGCAGGATTCTCAGGGGCAGGTTCCTGTACCTTTTTCCAGAAATATTTAAACCTAAGTGAAACACAGCTCAGGAAAACGTAAGCGGGAAGTGAAAAAGAGAAGACAAAGGTCAGAAGACCATTTGTTTCGGGTCAGCTCCGACCAACGCCAGGTCAGGGATGCCGGGATGCAGCTCCTGCTGTTCTGCACGTCTCATTTCAGAGCTACCCCGAACCGCATCCGTCAGCCTCTGGTTGCTGGGCTGAAATCCATCTCGGCCGAGAGCTGCTTTCAAGGACAGGGAGGAGAACGTTTCCGTTGCTGGGGGCCTCGATATTCCACACTTACTAAAACCACCCATCCACCCTACCCCAATTCCACCATTTTCTTTCAAAGGGAGAATCTGGAGCAGGGCAGATTTTTTTTTTTTTTGCTCTACCAGGGACATACACAAACAAATTGTCTCCTGTATGAGTGTAATTCTTTCTTCTTCATAAATAAAGTGATTAACGTCCCCTGCTGTCAGCCTGGCACGGAATTTGGATGCTTCCCTGCTACAAAATCCATTTTTGCTTCCATCAGATGGATGGAAACGCCGCAGGGCAGGGCTGGGGAGGAAGAGCAGCGTGCGTGTGCATCTCGAAGGGCGCCAGACACAAACTCTTCTGCCCTTCCCACCCCCTGCACGCTGCTCAACCTCAGCCCCCAACTCTGCTTCTCTCCTGCTCCAAATGAGTCTGTGGTTTTCGTTCCACCCAAAGCGCCCTGCAACAGCCGCCTCGTTTGTTGAGAATTCCTCCCCAGAATTTATCTGCTGCTTCACGAAAAACTGTGGCACTTGCTGAGAAAAAGACAATAATCCGCAGCGTGCGAAGGGAACGACGATTATTCCAACGCTGCAGGTAGAACACGTTCCACCAGGGCAGAAGAGTCAGAGAATCGCTGTGACGGCCCCGTCACGGATCACCCAAAGGAAGCGAAGCAACGGGAGGCTGTTCTCCTCAAAGGAGACCACCACGAGAAGGAACAAGGAACACCCCACCAGCAGGCTGCGGAAGCTTAGCTGAATTTTTGGGAAGGAAACTGCGGTAGCAAAGAAAGGAGCGATTTGTACGGAACGCCGCCGGGGGACGCGTCGTCTTCTCCCTAACGATTCAGTGCCCTCACGCTGAGGCCTGGATTTACCTTTCATGACTTCACTGACAAGAGATCAGCTTATCTCCAGCAAAGTCAGCTAGAAGCAGCCAGCCAGAGTTCCCTTCCATCACAGTTATTAGCCGCGTTCAGCAAGATCCCGTTCTCACCAGGAATAGCAACTGGCTCCGACGGGAGCGCTTGCGGTTGGACTATTTTTGGTACTCTGCAAATAAACGCCAGATGGCACGGAGTGAAGTCAGGGGCCACGCTGAAATCCGTCATGTGGACATCCTGACAGCCTGGTGCCACGGCTTTATCCTTTACCTGAGCCCTGACAATGGGAACGGCACGTCCTGGCCAGCAAGAAAAGACAACAGCGTTTCAGTCTTCCCAGCCCTCTCCAGGGCACCCACCTGAGATACAAAATCGAGATGTTTCTCTGCCAGGACTAAAGTTTGTTCATCTACAGGCAGACAGGAAAGCACGTGGCAGTGCCAGGAGGAGCAGGTATGCTTCAGTTCCAAGCTCTGCCCTGAAAGGCCCCACGTACCTGTCACGGAGCGTGTTGGGACCCAGGTAGGGGTACTGGCTGTCCTTGAGTTTTCCTTTGATGAGCTGATCCAGCGTTTCTTGAAGGAGAGGCTGGTGCTGCGTATACACGTTCTCAACACCCTACGGTGCAAGAGAAGCTCTCGTTACGAATCAATGCAGCGAGGCAGCAAGCTAAGAGAGATCAGCAAAGGCACGGAAAAGGAGCATCATCCCATGGATACATCAAGTGGTAACCTCTGAGGTCCAGGGAGGCTTTTCAGCAACTGACTCCCGTTGTCTTCAAGGAAAATTATGCCTCAAAAGCCCAGTGTGCTTACTATAAACCTCTGAAATCCACGACACGTGGCATTGCACGAGTCCTGCCCCGTGACTGTAATTTTGACTAAACCCATCATTATTCCAACCGTGGCAGACCCATACCTTCAGTCCTTTGAGGAACTGTTTGGTGATGGCTACAGCATCCTTGGGACCGAACAGGTCACTGCCCCGCACCCGTTTCCCTCCGTACTCCACGACTGCAGACACCAGCTGTACAGAGAGAGGCAAAACCAGAATCCTATTAACCTGGGAGACCAGCTTCCAGGCAGTTTTTGCCCCCTTAGGCTCGATGGAGGTACTGGAATGATGACCAAGGAGTCAGGGAGATCGATCCCAAGCAGATGATGCAGCACAGAGAGGGACAAGGGGGAAGAGGAGGAGCATTCCCCACATCCACCACCAAGTCAGGCTGCCCTGACACTGCCTGCATAAGGAGAGAGCCTTTCCTTTCCATAGTCTGCTGCAGTGATGGCACATCTTCCATACAACGTGACATCCTCCTGCTTCTCCACCTCCTCTCCAGCTGCTCACTACATTTGCCAAGCTCTGCCACCCTCTCCCTCCCAGCCAAGCTCCTTTTACAGGCTCCAGAAGTCCTTTGGTGCTAGCAGGAGCTGGGGGATAAAAGGGTGGGGAGGGAGAGGGGAAGGAGAAGGGAAGCATGCTCCAGGTCCCGTTTACACGCCACACGCCCATCCTAGCAGACTCCTGGCACACCTGCCATCTCTGCTGTATTCAATCCTTCATAATATCACTGATTTTAGAAATGGAAACGAATTAGCTTTGCCTTTTAAAGTAACACCTGCAGGCCCCCTTCCCCGCCAGCCCAATTCAACAAAAAACCATCCAGCTGGCAAGCTTTACGCCGATTCACGACGATTTTCCACCTCCGTGCCCTCCTGTCCCACTCCCTCACCCAGCTGAAGGAGCGACGCTGCCGTTACCTTCCGGTATTTCTCCGGCACGCTGCGGTTCCTGAGGTCTGCCAGCAGCCCGGGGAGGCTGTTGCTGCTGTGCCGCTCGTAGTGCAGGGCGTAAAGCATCACCAGCCGGGCGGCGTCCAGCTCCGTCACCTTGGGGTTCTGCAGGAGACGCCGGACGTTCTGCAGCAAGACAGGGGAGCAGCGTTGGTGGAACGGCCTCCGGAGGACGTTACATCAGACACGCACCAAACCCACCGCCTGGCAGCAGAACCGCGCGCCGGAGGGGCGCCGGAGAGCTGAGCTGTGCCACAAGCAGCAGAGCTTCTCACGTGCTCTGCGGCCAGATGGACTGGACCACGACGGAGCACGAGGCGCTTTCGGGTCTTTTCATGAAGCTGAGAATTCATAACCCGGTCCTGTTGTCCGTTCCTAACTCTCCGTAACGCGCTGCGGGGTGAGCTGAGGTCACCGTGTGCCCCCCAAAAGGGGAACATCACCGGGCACCTACAGAAACCTTGAACCTCTCTCCTTCCCCTTCCAGCTTCCCGGCCCAGAGCTTCCATTGCAATACTGACTGTCAGGAAAAAACGAGCTGGGACAACTGCACAAATCCTGTTTTTCTTTTGGAAGGTGCAGGGCAGAAGCATTTATGTCTCGGATAACCTTCGGGTGTGAGAAGTGGAGGTGCAAGTGTCAAGCGCTTGGAAGGAAAGGAGGAAAGGAATTCAAGCATGGAAAGGAAAAGAAAGATTTCAGCACTGGAGGTAAACACAGAAATCTACAGTTTTTCCTTCTAACACGCAGGTTGTTACTTTTTCTGCTGAAGAGAACACGGTGCCATGAACAGAAGGGGTGTGTGCCCCAAAGAGGCTGCCTGGCAAAGCACAGACTCTACCCAAAAAGTTTCAGCACCCCCAGTGCACACCATCAACCCCCCAGGGACTGCAGGCAGGATGTAACTGCTTGTTTAAGTTGACAATTGGCCAGGCAAGTGCTGCTCCTTCTCGTCACGACAAAAAGGACTTATTTCCTCTCTGCAACCTCTCGGTCGCCGCGTCGAGTCGCCGAGTTGAGATAACGGAGTTACTGGAACAAACACCAGACCAACGCTGGGAGCTCAGGTGAGCAGTGGGAGCGAGAAGCTTCTTCACTCCCAGCTTTGAGGTGGATCTCCAAGAACAGCAGCTGGGAGAACGTTGTGAGACTGTTGTGATTTACCCCGCTGGCTCAGCTGTGTTTGCTGTCATCTGCTGGGCCGACGCAGACCAGTTACAAAAATACAGGATCAAATCCTGCCTTCGAGGAGGATCGCCAGGAGTTTTGCCACTAACCTTGGAAAGGTCAGGAATTCACCTGAGAGGGAAAGGACAGAGTCCCGCGGAGACGTCTGCCCGCACGATTTTCGATCCCGTGCTGGCGGGGGGAAGCGGGAAGCGCGTAAAACAGAAAAGCTATTGTCCATCTGAGGAGATGGGATTCCAAACCTCCCATTCATCTCTCCAGGCTCATGTACTATGTCAGGATTAATAAGAGACCAGGGGAAGAATCACCAAAATGTACTGTACTCCGGGGCCCTGGGCCACCGGAGAAACGAACAATTGCTGAAGTTACATCAGCGGGAGAACAATTCTGCCTTTATTTCCTGCACTGGCTCATTCTTCATTGTTTCTGTGCCCTTGCCCCTTCTCTGCCGTTGGGAGACTGCAGCAGGGAACAGCCTGGGGCAGTGCAGCTAAAGAGACATGATCAACCATGTAGGAAGACACCAGTTCCGTGGTTTTGCATTTATTTCCTGGCTGCTACGTGTTTTCCAGTCGGTCTCAGTTGTTGGAACTACAACGCAGCCCTTCAGGCACGTGGCTGTAAGCAAACTGCAGGCAGCTGGGATGTTTCCAAAACTGCAGAAATACCTAATTAGTGCAGACTGAGGCCTGAATTAGCTCCGAGGTGAGCTCCAGCAGCCGCCGTGCCACGAGGGTGCGACGCTCGGTGGGAGCCGCGTCTCCGTGCACCGCCCAGCTCTGCTAACCATAGAGCTGGTAACGCAATAGCATCATCACCAGAAGTTCAGGTCATCCCCTTCTTCAATCAATCTGAGATCACTTACTAAAAAGCCGACCGACACGTTCCAAAACGGCCTCCGATGCCAAGCACCCAAGTTTCAACTCTTGACTGTGTGAACATCAGAAACAAACAGATCCCAGGCACGACGGGCTGACGGATCAGAACCCAAATATTGGATTTTTAAAGCTTGATCTAGGAACAACGACGGGGCAGGAGAACCTCAGAGGCTGCTTTCTGCAAACACATTTCACGGCTACGCTCCCGCTCCAATACTCAGCCACCCAGATCCCACCACACACGAGCTACCGAATCCCACCCCTACGCTCCCCAATCCCTGCAGCTGAGATGCCTTCAGCAGGCCCACCCCGATCCGCAGCAGCTCGGGATCTGGTGACACATTCCAGTACTTGAAGAGTCTAATATTATCCCCCAGCCACCCACTCGGAGCACGGAACAACAGAGGCAAAGAAGAGACGCGTTCCAAATCTGCCGAGGACGCGTATCGTTATTTTCTAGTCAAGCTGCTTCTCCAGCGTTGCATAAAGGAGTCTGTTACGTGGTGTAACTTCTACCTCAGCTACAAAAAATTAAGGAATTGGGTTTTTTAACACTGAGTCGCTGGTTGAGCTCTGCTATAACACTGTCACACCCAACAATACTGGTATTTTCTCCGAGCAGTCAGCAGCCACCATTCATCACCGCTGACGTGCTGTCAGACACCAGGGCAGGTCATGGAATCCAACGAGCCAACACGGGGTCAAAACCTCAGCCTATGCTCAGCTCTAACAGAAGTCTCTGTTAGGCTTTTCCAGTCCTCTTTGCCAAAGAAATCTTTTCTCTAAGAGGCTTTCCACTGTTTTTTATCTAAAAAACAAAAAAAACAAGGTAAAAGCCACCACCTCAATGAACAATCTGGTTTAGACAGCTTCATGGATTCCATTTCTTCTTCTCCCTGACAAATACAAGAAGCTTCTGCACAGGGGTCCAAGTTTTTGGGTTTTTTCACCGGTGCCTGCCCCGGCAGCTTGCCAGAAGCCGAAGGAATGTTGTGTTGTGAAATGTAAAGACAGACTTTGCAAAGATGCTTCTCAAGCCAGTTATTAACTATGATTCATCCCCATCTGAACCGAACGGGGAGGAGAGTAATTCTAACACCCAACGTCCCAACCCTGCAGGATAACTCCCACTGACTTCCAGTATCAAACCTCCATCGCAGGGGTGCTACGGGATCAAACCAGCTAAGATTCAGACACAGGATTGAGGTCGGGTTTTGAGCCCGAGGTACCTGGAGAGCACTGGAATGGTCATTCTGGCAAGCCAGTTCCTGCTCCACTTCAGACACCTCCAGCAGGTTCCGCTCACCGACCAGTCGAGACAGCTCTCCCACCACCGTCACGTGCTTCGACACCGTGCCTGACATCTTCTTGAACTGCGGGTAATTCTCCACGAACGCCTGCAACGGGGAAACCAAAGCAACCGGTTCTTGGAAAGAAAAGCAAGAGACAGCAGAGATGTGCAACCGGCGATAAACCGCACAAACGAATCTGCAGCAACACAAGGAAGACCAGTGCGGGTGTAGGGATGGTCAGGGACCTCAACCCCAGAGCCCACAGGATTTCTCCAATTACAAGGAGATTTCTGGAAGGGATGTACTTTTTATTTACTCTTAAAATCAAGGGATCCAGAAAGTATCTCCAAAGACATCACCAGGATTCTTTCAACGTTGAGCAGTGACTGAATCAACACCCTGTGCTCTGAGCTCAAGTGACCCAGCTCAGACACAAGGTCCACAGAGCCATCTCCGAGTAAGCCAAGTTCTTAAACCCAAGTTTTCCAACTCAATCATGGGGCTTCGGGACTCCAGCGAGCTCTGAGCAGCAGCTTAGAGAGCAGTCAGAACAAACAAGCTTGGAGACCACGCTGCAGCGCTGCAGAACGGCCTGTCGAAGCCTTCACAGAAGAACCATGGTAACGAAAACAGTGCAAAAAGGAGGTTCCCACCCCCCAAAACTAACAGGCCACAGAGACGCGAACCGTTGGTACCGGCAGTGTGGATGGTCGGTGGACAGACACTGGTGATCTGCACTGTCCTGCAATGGATGGGATTTAGAAAGTCCAGTCGGTCACGTGCGGATCATCTGTACCTTCATATCTGCTATGGATTCCAGCTTCTGCTGCTCCTTTGGTTTCCTCCTCTGGAAATCTTCCATAAGATTCTTGATGTTACTGCCGATCTCTGCGAAGTTCAGGTACATGTTCTGCACGGGACAAGACAGGGACGTGAGAAAACGCCGTCCCAACGCGAGTCTTGATGCAACTGGAGCAAGGTGGCATCGAGGGCACAAAACACCGAGTGCCACTGGACATCGTCGCCCTGAGACCCAGGCTTGAGCAAGCAGCTCTGCCACTGGGCTGGGTTTTACTTCAAACTATAAAATGGACACGTCATTTCATGCCAGATACCACCTGCGTTACACACTGACTTTCACCACCTGCACAGGCTGCACGGTCCCTCACCACCCCAGTGCTCAAAGTCACTGGGAAGTTCCTTTCACATAGAATCATAGAATGGTCAGGGCTGGAAGGGACCTTCAAAGGTCATCTAGTCCAACCCCCCTGCAAGGAACAGGGACATCTCCAACTAGATCAGGTTGCTCAGGGCCTCATCCAACCTGGCCTTGAACGTCTCCAGGGATGCAGCATCCACCACCTCTCACATGGCAAAACAAAGAATGGAACTGATCCCCAAACCCGGCTGCTCCTGAAGGTCCCCACCGAGACACCTACGTTGGCGTAGAACTCATCGTTCTCGGCAGACAGGACCACTTCTCGGAGATCTTTGCTTATCCCCGGCACGCGGGAGAGGTCGATGCGGTTGTTGTTAATCCCCAGCAGTTCGTGAACCATCGCCTGGTACGTCCACTAACAACGAGGGTGGAAGAGAAAAGCCAACAAGAACCTTCGTAAGACAACAAACAGCACCGGAGAATTCATGGATTTCGGGCTGGACTCAAACAAAGCCAGATGATATTCCTCTGGACCCAAAGTCTGTGTCCCTCAAACCTGTGCCAGAAGGATACTGTAAGAAATAAATGTTACTTCTGATATAATCAGAGGGGCATCCCATCCCATGGGTGTGAACCCAAAGGAAAAGCACCCTCCATTCCAGGGTGCTCTCTGCCGGCACGTTCAATGGGGATTAATATTCCTGTGGAAAGAGGAATTCCTGCTCTGTTTGCCACCGTTGTCTCCCCTCCCCTGCTGTGAAGGGACACGTATTTCTGGCTGCAGAGGTTCCACAGCCACAAACTGTACAATTTCCTACACGCTCCTGTGCTTCTTCGGCAGCGGCAGGAGCATGTGTCTCTGCACATCACTGAGTTACTGTATTTATCCCGGGAAGACTAATGTTAATCTAGAGAGAAAACTGGAAGCTGATCAGAGCACCGACATGCCCGATGCTCCAATCACAGAATCCTGGAATGGTTTGGGTTGGAAGGGACCTCAAAGATGATCCAGTTCCAACCCCCTGCCGTGGGCAGGGACACCCTCCACTACACCAGGTTGCTCAAAGCCCCATCCAACCTGGCCTGGAACACTGCCAGGGATGGGGCAGCCACAGCTTCTCTGGGCAACCTGTGCCAGTGCCTCACCACCCTCAGAGGGAAGAATTTCTTCCTTAGATCCCATCGAAATCTCCCCTCTTCCAGTTTAAATCCATTGCCCCTTGTCCTGTTACTACACGCCCTTGTCCAAAGCCCCTCTCCAGCTTTCCTGTAGCCCCTTTAGGCACTGGGAGGTGCTGGAAGGTCTCCCTGGAGCCTTCTCTTCTCCAGGCTGAACAGCCCCAACTCTCCCAGCCTGTGAATCTCTTCTGGATAGAAAATCTCCACGTAGCAGATAACGCTTTCGGTGCCCTGCGCTGAGCACAGTCCTTAACCCTACAAACCACGCGTGAGCTGGGCTTCTGACTGCCAGAAAACACAAGTATCACCAGTAGCTCCCACACCACCAGCCTCACAGAAGCACTGGCTGGCGCT